ATTACCACTAATCGTTTCTGAGTATTTCCATAACCCTTAGCAGAAGCTCAGTGTCCCCTAAGTATTTTAATGTATTTCAAACATATTTTAATAAAACCTCAAAATTGGGGAATCATTTCCCGTTACTTCCCTCTGTCCTCCTTTCCTTCGGCCTCAAGCCATGGCCACACACTCTTCTGGTCCTTGAGAGTTTAGGGTCTTCAAGAGGCCTCACAAGAATGTTTTAGAAGTCACCGAAGCATCTTCCGTCTTCTGATCACAAGTTCAGGTCTTTGGAATCATCTCTTTCTTGTGAAATAGTCCCTGCTCTCTGGGTCTCAATTCTGCCTGGGAAGAGAACTAGTCAGAGAGCTAGACAAATAGGAAGGAAGCTTAGGGTTCACATCCACTCATCACCTTGGACTTGCATAGCTCCAGAGACTGGGAGTACAACATGCCCCAGTGTAGATCTGATCCTGAGAATGTCCTCCTTAAACTGGACCAACATGTGTGACTTTGGTCTATTAGTCCCAACGCTGTTCTTTTCAGCATCATAAAAATCAAATCTGTTTCGCATAAAAACACTTAAAAATGACCTTTGCCTCCTGGTTCTTTCCTCTGTTTCCTTTTTACCTCCCTCTTGTCACACCATCATGTTCAGCCTTCATTTGGGTTTAGTAATTCCTCACTGCTACATTGCCCTTGATTGAGCCTCACTAGGCATCCTACCACCTTCCTTCCACTGATTTTAGTTTGCTTGTTGTTCCGTTGTCCCTGGGTTGGTTTTCCCCCATGTCCTTTCTCCCATATCCCCTTCTCCCGAATCCCCCCAGAATCATTGGTGGCCTAAATATAGGCATATACATATGTAAATATATATACAATGAGAAGGGAATAGAACTATGTGCTCATATCTATATGTTAAGAATTAAGGTTGCAGGTGAACATTGGGCCTCAACTCAAGTACTCCTTAACACAAGAACACTTTATTCCAACAATCTGGCATTTTGTGTTGCTTACCTTCCCAACACGATCTATGAAGACAAACTGGGTGCATAAGCAAATGTGGTGAAGAAAGCTGATGGTGCCTGGCTATCAAAAGATAGAGTGTCTGAGGTCTTAAAGGCTTGAAGATAAACAAGCGGCCATCTAGCTCAAAAGCAACAAAGCTTACATGGAAGAAGCACAGCAGCCTGTGTGATCACGAGGTGTCAGTGGGATCAGGTATCGGGCATCTAAGACCCCAAATAAAACCACACCCAATGTGAATGAGGGAGGACATGGAATGGAGACCCAATGCCCATCTGTAGACAATTGGACATCCCCTCAGGGAAGAGATGAGCCAGTCAGGGTGCAGCATAGCACCAATAAAACACACAGCTTTCCTCTAGCTCTTTTGTGCTTCTTTCCCCCAACTATCATGACCTCAATTCTACCATACAAATCAGATAAGACCAGAGCATGCACATTGTTACAGATAAGAGCCCGCATCACAGGGAATTCTGGATAGACAAACCCCTCAGGGCCAAAACAAGGAGAGTAGAGATACCAGGATGATTAGGGGAGGGTGGGGGGAGAAAAGGGGAATCGATCACAAGGATCAACTAGAACCCCCTCCCAGGGGGACGAATAATGGAAAAGTGAGGGATGATGTAAGATATGGAAAAAATAATCTATAATTTATCAAGGGTTTGTGAGGGCAGCTGGGTGGGGGAGGGAGGGGGAGAAATGGGGAGGTGATATCAGGGGTTCAAGTGGGAAGAGAATGCTTTGAAAATTATGTTGGCATATGTGCAAATGTGCTTGACACATTGGAGGAATGTATGGATTGTGATAAGAGATGTAAGAGGCCCAATAAAAGTATTAAGAAAAGAAAACCTCACTTAACGTCCTTGAGGGCAGCTCTTCCAGTATTTCTCTCTTCTGCTGCTAGTTGCCACAGAATCAGCTCTGATTCACAGTGACCTGTGTACAACAGAATAAATGTTGCCCAGGCCCGCACATCTTCAGGACTGCTGGTCTACTGGAGTTGTTTGCTGCCACTGTATACTTTAACTGTCTTTCAGCCCGGGTGGTTCATCTTTAGTCCTGTGTTCCACAACATTCTGTGGTGATGCTTAGGGTTTCCAGAGACTCATTTTTATAAGTAGAGCACCAAGATTTTGTTTCTAGTCTTAGTCTGGAAGCTCTGCTACAGCCTGTTCACAATGGATGACCCTGCTGGTATTTGAGATCATGGTGGCATAAATATTAGCATCCTAGCAGGACACAAGTCACCACAGTTCTAAGATAAATTGATGGGTGAGTGTTGGTTGCTTCTCTAAGCAAAATAGATCCCAACACTTTGTAATATAAAAGTCTTTCAACCATCAATCTTGCATCCATTCGCTTCCACCTAATCACAGGACACTGGGGCCGGGTCTAGACCTTATCCTTAGTGGGTCCTCCATCTATTGGATGAAAGAATGAATCTATATCCTCCTCCTATGAACTTCTGCTTTCTTTCTCTCTTTCTCTCTCTCTCTCTCTCTCTCTCTCTCTTTCTTCCCTCTTTTAGCATGTGGAGCCTACAGCCCCACTTAGTCACAAGTTGAATTAACTTTCAATTAAGAGCCCTAGCATTTGAGATCATCTTTGGTAATGTCCCCGCACCCTTTCTGAAGGGGTGCTCAGCAGGGCTACTAACAACCGGAGGCTTGTGGCTGCATGTGCTTGGTCTTAGCTACCCCCCATGACTCTGGGCTCTGCGTTTCTGTGGCTTAAGGCTGTATTGTTGGGGACACAGGGTGCCAGTCACAGCAGCCCAGGTAGAGACCATTAAAGCTCCCTGAGCACAAAGAAGATCCCTATGAGAGCTTCCCGTGAAAGGACCGGATGACAGCATGCCTACCTGACTGACATCTGCTCCCCTATCATTCTGTAGCCTCATTCCGCCCCCTCCACCCCAGATCTGTGTCAGATCTGCTGAGGTCTCCCCTGTCATCTGTGGGGTGTTTCTTTTGATGATATGGCCAGAGTCTCCCTGCTTATTAGCCCTGGGGTTCCTCTCAGTGTCTAGATGCCTGATCACAGACACCAATCTGTGAACTCCTTGACTGTCAGGGAACAGAGAGGTTTCCTGGACTTGAGCCAGGAACCTTGAGTCTCCCTGAACCTTATCTGAAGCTACAGTGGCTTCCCTGCTGACTGGGGCCCTGGGGAGTAACTGACTTATTCTCTAAGGTATAAAAAAGGAACAGAAAACCTGTACCATTGAAGCAGGAGAGCAAGAGAGCAACGAGTCAGGTGTCAGGAAATGTTCTTGGACTTGAGGTGTCTCGACGTTATCAGAGAGGCTTTCTGGTCACCTGTGGTCTGCAGCAAAGAGGACTCTCGCTCTCGGCTCGAGTGCTGCATCTGCCTGGGTCATCTCTGTCTCTCTGATACTTGGCATGGTACCTGGCAGTTGGTAGGTGTTCAGTGAGAAATTGTTAGGTGGGTGATTAAGACAGCTTCCAGAAGTCTTTTCTAGGGGCCCCGAGCCCTTACTTTATCAAGGTAAGAGCTCACTTCTATAGTCAGAGGGTCTTAGGTGAGAATCCCAACGTTCCCATTTACCCTCTCCATGAGCCTGCACAAGATCTGTAACAGCCAAGTAGTTTTTCTTATCTGATGAAGGGAAATCCACAGCCCTCGTGAGGTTGCTGTCAGGGTTACCTTCAAGAATGTGTGTAGAGCTCAGGCCCAGGCCCATGGGCCCTGGTCTCATGTCAGGGCCCTGCTGAGGAAGCCCTTGGACCTTTTCCCCACCTCCAACTTTGTGTTTCCTTCGTAGCTGGCAGGGGTTCCTGCCAGATGATACAGCCAACAGACTTGGCCTCATGTTTGTGTCATCTCAGGCTTATTTCTTCCCTTTGCTTGGGATCAGAGTTCGGAAAGCCAGGCTCAGGGAAGAAGATGCCATCGTGTGAAGTTCCGTAGACCCCAAATATTGAGTCTTTGCAAGTCTTATCAGTTGCTGAGTTTTGTTCATTGCAAAATGTATGCGGAGGTGAGCATCTGGTATACCATAGGTGGGGTGCGGCGCTCCAGCTGATGCTCACTGAGATCTCTGCCAGCGCTGCTCTCAGAACAGCCCGTGCGATCTGCCTTTCATTCCTCTTTCAGATGCTCAAAGACGAAATGAAATAAAATAAAAATGCAATCAACATAAGAACATCACGTGGTGGGTGGGTGGAGAGGAAAGAATATACATCAAGTCAGTTGTCAATCTTTGGATCATATTTATTGTGTATTTTACCTTCACCAGGGAGAAGAAGGCAAGGAAGCTGGAGAATAGACCAGCCTAAGTCACCCAGACACACAGTCCCATCTCTGAAAGGTGTACACGTTGACAAACAAGGGCCCAGAGAAAACCAGCCATGGGGCTTCCAAATCCACAAGCACCCCGTGGGATCCCACTGCATTTTTCTCTTATTGGCTACACGGGTTCAATAATCGATATACTTTTGTTTCATTTTAAAAATCTTAACCGATATACCAAGGCCTAGTTATCCACTGTTGTTTGTAGGGTACAGAAAGAAAACTATGCAGTTTTTAACTCTTGCACAACCAATCTCTCCTTCCCATACCCAGGATGGCGGTGGTGATAATGATAGTAAGTGCGAAGTCCATTGACATTCAGTTGGTTTTGAGTCTATCACTGAAATATAAATGAAGGCATCCTTGGCCGGTACACACCCAGAGAGGGATGAATTGTTGACCCAAGGGAGCTGTGCCAGGCGTCTATGGTCTCCTTGGGTAGCCACATCCTTCTTACATTGCAGAGCTTCCAGCAGCCTGCTGAGAACAATATTTCTTCACAGAGACTGATGGAATATGGAAAGAACTGTCTTCAGCGAGACAAGCCAAGTCCTGGAATACTGAGAAAGTCAAGAGGCAGGAAGCTACATTGCCCCTGGGACTCATCGCAGGAGCACATCACCGTAGCAGGGGCTGGACTTGTTGGGCATCTCCTTGAGCCCTGTTGACCCGATGAGCAGCTACTTTCCCTTGCCAAGGGGTGAGCACTTCTCTTGGGGTTTCTGTGAGCAAACCTCCACACCTTTTGTCAGGGACAGCTCCTGGCATGACTCCACACACTGAGGAGGAGAGTGGTCTTGGCATGGAGGTAGGCATGGATCTTGTTCTTTCTGTGGGTAGCTTTCTTGGGTCAATACCTGGCACTTAGGAAGACTTAGCTCCTGAACTTGGACTGAGCACTTCTCTTGGCAGAGGTCCTGGATTTGGGGGAGGCATACCTCCTGAACCTTTGCCTGACATGGCTCTTGGGTCTTTGGAAGACACGGAGGAGGCAAACACGGTTGCTGGCATTGCTGCTCATGAAAGGACATCTTCAGATGAGTTTCAGAACCTGAAATAAACACAAGATTTGGAATTCTCTGCATCACAAGTGTTAGGTTGGGGCTTGGGAGATGGATCCTCGAGAGTAGGAGCCTATCAATTGCCACCTCAGCTACCATCCAGTGCATTCTGACCCACTGCGGCCGCGCAAGACAAAGTGGGACTGTGCCCGTGGGTTTCCGAGACTTTAAATCTTTACAGGGTTGCCTAGCCTTCTCTTTCTGCTGCGGAGAGGCTGGTGCGTTTGAATGCTAAACTTGTGGCTAGCTGCTCAAGGCGTAACCCACTCTGCTACTAGTACTCCTATCTCTAATTAGGAATTATTCTCATAGTGTTTGCCTGGATATCCATATATCTAAGTCCCAGTCCTACTACAGTTATTTTTCTTCTCTTCTCATTGACTAATTCTCTTGAAAAATAAAGAAAATCAGGTGCAGGAGAGTAGATAGAGACCATGGATAGGATGATTTGAGAAATCCAAGAACTTGCAAGCTACTTCAAAGGTGAGTAGAAAATAGAGTCTGGGGAGAGCCCGGCATGGAAGCTTCCAGGGGACAGAGCTGTCAGGGAGCGGGAGCAGATGCGCTGCTTACCTGATGTTCCACAGACTCAGCAGAGGATGCAGAGTGGGGAGGCTTGTAAGGTGAGGACTTTTATAGAGGGCTTGATCCAGCTGCATGCAGGACTGACCGGCCACGTGGGCCAAGGCCTTAATTGTAGAGTCAGAATAACTAGCTTCCTCTGGAATTGTCGATGGTTTGTGTCACTGCTTGGGATGCCTGTTAATCAACCACCATTTTGGCCTCTGGGTTCTCATCAGACCTTAGCAGGGAGGGGCGCCTCTCAGATCGTTGTCATCAGAGGCAACAAGGAAAATGTGTTCATAGAACGTTATCTCAGTCTGTTCATCCAGGGTTGGGATTCTTTGGCTGCCCAAACTGGTTCAGGATGTAGTGGGAGATAAGTTCCCCCTTGCTCATCTTGTCCTTCTCCCTGGGAAGACTTAGTGCCAAAGGCCTGGGGTCTGCCTGGGTCAAGTGCTTGTATGGCCTATTTCAGACTTTTCCCTTTAGCTGTCCTTTTTATCTAGCCTGGAAAGGTCCACTTCTAGACCCAAAATAGATGGCTTATCCGGTGTTTCTAAGCAAGCAAAGATCACACAGCCTCTTGGGGAGAGTAAGGCCTACAGTTCCCTGCATGGAGGACTTGAGGGAATTGTGGTCATTTTCTGCTCTGTAGTTGTGGAGCAGAGTGGAGAGGAAGTACAGCAAGGAGAGAAGGCAGGCCATCTTCTGAACCCAGAGACGCTCCCCACAGTGTAGTCACACATATTGTTTTCTTAGTGACCAAGAAGACAGAGTGCAACATGTGTAGTCCGCCTCTGCCTTCTGGAGAAACCTTTTCTTAGAACTGAGGTCAATAAGAGCCAGGAGGGTGAAAGGAAAGTTTGAAAGCAAACACCCCCCCCCACCCCCACCCCCGTTTTCTCCCTCCAAGTCTGGTTTGGGCTCTCCCTTCAGCCGCAGGCGCCCTCCTTTCTTTGCCCATTGGAATTCTCAGCACTCTTCAAGGTCCCATTCCAGACAACCAGACTCCAGAGTCTTTCCTGATTACCCCAGAAACGAATTCACCTCTTTATGAACCCCCATAGCATCTATTGTTTGTACTACTTATATGGCATGGACTGTTGCTATTAAAATTCTAGCTATTTACGACAGAATAGTATTACGGAGCTGAGTTGTAAGTTCCTGGAGGGGAGAGGGCTGAAACTCTGTCTCCAGCACAGCGACTGGCAGGTGGAGGAGGGGAATCTTGACTCATGAGGTTCATGCATTGATGAAGAAATGGAGAGGAGGAGAGTGGGAGGCCGCTGGGAGTAGAGGTGGGTCTCATTGAACGGAACATGAGAGGAGGGTCAGGCTTCCATAAGCTCCAAGCCCATGGACTGCTGGACTTGTGTTTGCCTGCAGAGCTGACCGATCTCGAGGGACTTTCAAGACGATAGTGGCTTTCTTAACTTGAAGTTCGTTTGGGTCATTGCCTTAGGGAGGTATTTCCTACAGTTAGAAATGTCTCCAAATGTTTTACATGATTTTGACGGACCCATAAAAAGATTTTTCAAAGGGGACCGGGGAGAGATCAGGTGACATTTTCGGCCTTTGAAGACTGATGCCAAAAGATGATGTAACACTGGAGTGGAGTCCTTTGGTGTCCTGGTCAAAGATAAGGAGGGGTCAGCGACTGACCCAGGGAGGTCGTGCTGATGGTCATCTGAGAGACAGGGTCTTCTGAAGGCTCATCGCGGAAGGGGCTGCTCTGTTGGGGGAAGGGGAGGGAGTTGGATCATCCAGGGATTTTTTCTGAAGGGTGAGGAGTCAGAGAACCAAGTGACCAGGTAGGTATAGGATGGAGAGTATCTTCTCCACTGTTACTTTAACCTTTTTTTACTTCCCCTTTTTTCTCTTTCTCTTATAAGGTCACTCGTCTTTTCTGCGGAGTTAGACCGGACTGGACGGCAGTGGGTTTGGTTGGCCCGGTTCTGCAGTTGTAGTCAGTCTTTGAACTGTCCAAGTTACTCATTGTCATGCGGCAGTTGACAATGCATGGAGGCCCAGATAGTGATTGCTGTCCCTAATCAGGTGTGTGACTTCAGGCAAGTTTCTAAATGTCTCTGGCATTATTAACGTTCATTATAGTAAACACAGTGATGGTAGGCTAATAACCAGTTGTGTCCATCAGTGCCAAAATTCTGTGATCCCAGAGATGTGACCACGTATGAAATGGTTACCTGGGAATCTCTGCCACTTGCTCAGTGTGTGGCTGTGTTTCATTTCTTACCGGTCAGGTTGCAGTCAATCTGCAGGAGAGAAGGCCCAGCCTTCCGTCCTCTGCATTGCCCAGTGGTCCAGTGAGGTGTCTGCGTGAACTTAGGTGGCCTGTATTTTCCTAGGTGCAGAGTGGTAGTTTGGGGTCTAGACCCTAAAAATCAGCCTCGGTGGCTCATTACCCACATGGGGAGGTATTTGGGGGAAATTGTCCCACCCCAGATCTGAAGATAGGGTGACAGGTAATTTCTCTCACCAGGCCCAGCCCTCCAGCAAGGGGAGGGCTAATCTGGTTTAATGCTGTCTAAGATTTAAGATTTTGGATCTCTGCAACTGTCATTATTGGGAACCAAGGTGTAATTAGACAGGGCCAGTAGAAGAGACTCAGCTGTGCGCCGTTCATTTTCCTCTTATTACCATCAAATAACTATCTCCTTTGTTTGGATCGTAAAAGATCCCAGACTCCTCTGATTCACTTGGCTGTCCCTGGCTGCATATTATAGGGCAAGGGCTCCGATAAAGCTGGATGATGCAGAATGTGGCTCACCTGGTTTCCTGGCGAGCAGGTGCCTCTGGAGAGCTTATTGAGCTTGTGGTTCCTGGGGCCTGGCAGAGTCCACCGTTCCTCTTCCCTCCCGAACTTCTCTGTCATCCACACAGGGAGTCTGAATCAGAGGTTGTGGGAGGACTTAGAGAGCACAGGCCGCCAGAAGGGCCCTGAGAAGCCATCTGAGTTCACCTCCCAGTTTTATGCTCAGCTCGTGCTTCGTATAGGAGGCACTAAACTATTTATTGGCTGCATTTGGTGGGGGTGTGTGTTAGGAAACAAACACAAGAACATTAGGGAAGTTGTTCGAGGGTATGTGGGGAATTCACATTTGGTCTAAGTTGCATCTCTGTAAAAACATCTAGGAGACCACTGTGTTTGAAGTTCTTTATGAGCTTCAAGGGGAGAACAGGTCATAGAGCAGTCAGTGGTTCTTAACAGTTTGGGTGCTGTGGGGAAATAACCACTCATCTTTGGGACTTCGTAGACCTCAGGTTAAAGACCACTAACGCCGATGATGGGGAGAGAGAATATACCCAAATAGTTTCCTTTTGATGATGCTGGTCTTCCACTCCATTCCCTTCTGCGTCTGGGTCCCGTCTGCTCTTGGTTTAAATGGTTATCTTGGTGAAAATTAGAAATCCTATACGCTGCCTAAAACCAACTCACTGTGTCTTAAAAAACCAAAAAAACCAAACACGACCAAACCCTGCCATCACGTCAATTCTGACTCATAATGACCCTGTAGAGCAGAGTAGATCAGCCCCGTGGTTTCCAAGGTTGTCATTCTGTAGAGGAGTAGAAAATGTTGTCTTTCTTCTGTGGGGCTAGTGGGTTCAAACTGCCAACCTTGCAGTGAGCAGCTCCTGCTGGCTTTCGTTAAGCTGTTTGCCTCTCTGGGACTGTGTTGCTTCTCCTAGATATCCAGGGTGTGTTAAATGCCATCTCCAGCTCTGCTATCCAGGGATGCAAAAGCCTCCTTCCGTCTCCTCCTGTGGAGCCAGTTGGGCAAAGAGCGAGGTTGAATGGTGCCCTCATTCAGCTTGTCTTCAGAATGTGTTTGCGTTCCATTCCTATAACTCCCATCTTCTCCCCCACCCGTCCCTTCACACTGCAAGGGCACGTGTCTTGGCAGAAGATGGGCTGAGACTCCCACTGTTGAGCCAAGTACTTAAAAGCTGTATGCACCTTAGTTTTCTAGATTTTGTTTCTTGTGCTAGGTGCTTTGCATAAATTCTCTCAAGGAGCCATCTCATTTCACCCTTTTTGAGCCTTTTCATTCTTTAGGTTTAAAAAAACAACAACCAAGATCCCCCTCCTCCAGCCCCCCTCCCTTCTCCCACTGAGATAAATACCGTATCTGGAAGGACCCAGTTGATTAGTGTCAGGTCCGCTTGGAATCCCTTTCCCCTCTCTCCATGCTGCTTGCCAAAGTGACAACTCTTTTCTGAGGCAAGCTACACCCCACCCTCTTGGTGAGATCAGTAAGGGCTGTCAGCACCTGCAGCTTGCGGCCTCAGAGGAAGGGACAGACACTGTGGCCAAAGTCAGGATTGCCTTTCTTTGGGACTCAGACCACCCATAGTCACCCCTCCTCTTACTTCCCACCTAAGAATTC